AATGATATGGCTGCCCCATATCTCTTGGCACGACTCCTTGTAATCGGTCCAATAGGAAGCACCAATGGATCTCCTTCATCGTTCACCATACCTCCTTGCGATCCAGCGACTGCCATAGAGGGGAATTTATTCTAGATCTTTGATCTATTCCAAAACTTGTCATTGAGTTCATGAAATTTATTTTCATTGGGTTCCGCGTCATGGACCTCTTAGATTAGTATAAATAGCTTGCTATTTTGTAATTATTCAACATTATTCAATCAATTAATCAAAGAGAGATCTTCTTCTTCATGCTTAGGCGTGTTCATGTTTTCAGAGGGTGTGAGATTGCATTCTTCTAATTGCATCAAGAATCAAGGTAAACTTATCAATTCTTTATGGCGTTTATCTTATTCTTCTACTCTATTATTGGTACTTGTTCTTTAAGCTTGGGGTGGCCATAGAGGGATTTATTCTAGATACTTTGATTCTATTCCAAAAACTTGTCATTGAGTCATGAAATTTATTTTCATTATGGTTCCGCTCAGTTTGGTATCAAGAGCCCAAAGATTAAGGTAAATTCGTTATTTATAATCTAGCTCTAGGATCTGTTGTTTAATTTGTTTTTCTTATTCTATTGTTTGTGTTTGTTTTTCTCTTTCATCTTAATTCTTTTATGTTTGGTTTTCTTGTTTGATTGTTCAATTTCATTTTTTGTTTTCAATTAATTTAGTAAATTTCGTGCTATGGTTCAATTCTGGAAGTTTACATTCCTAGATTACTTGTTGTTAAAAAAAAAAAAAAAAAAAAGAGTATATTAAAGAAATTTCGTCCATCCATTGAAATTGCTTGTCGTGGATCTTGATTTTGTTCCTGGCAACCAAGAGATTTGATCCTAAATCAAAGATTTTCCTTATTTTGTGGAATTTGCCATAATTGTGGGATTATTCCTAATCCTTAAGAGATTTGACCATAATCTAGTGTTTAATCTCGATTATTGGTGTTTCCGTTTCATTATAAACGTGGGGTGCCATAGAGGCGAACTTATATCTCATTCTTTGATCCGATCCGTATCATTAACTACTTGCGGATAAGATAACAAAGAATAGTTGACCATATCTTTGAGATTGAGAAAATCTACTACAATCCTTGTCAAATCTAAGAATCCTACTTAAATTGGGTTGCATTAAAAAAAAAAGGAACAAGGCAAAGCACAACCGTGCACTTTTCTGACTTCCACTTGTTGGACTAGAACTTAAACGCACGCCCGTGCTCCATCTAGCACGCCCGTGCTCTGTTCTAACCCTATCTTCAAATTGTTTTCTTTTAATTTTTCTTTGTTTGCTTGCTTTGTTTTGGATAGAATTAATTAGGTCCATATTTGGTTTACTTTGTAGTGAGCTAAATTCATACATTATATCCTAATATTGTCTTTCAAATTCTAGTTTCTTTGTTTTTGTGTGAGCTTTCCGTTGCTTCTATTACATTATTAGGGTGTGTTTGCTTGTTCACTAATTGTGATCATTAAAGTAGTGCATTGTTTACTGTTCTTGTGGCTACTGTCCATATCGTTTTTTTGTCTTCTTTCTAGATTTTTGTGCTGCTTTTCAATTGTTTAAGTTTTATTCCTTGACTCTAAACGTGGATCTTTGAGTTGGTTGGTTGAAACTAAGATTCTGAAGTTTTCAATTGGAAGAATTGCAAGGAGTGATTTCAAGAGTGTAAACACGTGAGGGAGTGATTTATCAATAACCCAAATCTTTTGTGTTTTCTTTTGAATACTAACCATGTGTATAGGCAAATCTGGAGATGGTAATGATGGAATTCCAATTAAAGATCCTCAATTAAAACTCTTCATGGAAGCAATTCAAGGACAGTTTAAAACCTTCAATAATCTTGTCCAAGACATGAGGGAGGAATTGCAAGAGATAAAGGCTTCACAAAGCTCTAATACAACTAGAACTCATCCACAAACCAGATTTCAAGACCATGATGTTGAAGAGAGTGAAGAGACCAATCCTAATAAACTTGATGGGGACTTGGGATCAATTAAAATGAGGATTCCAGAATTCAAAGGCAATAACAATGCTGACAACAATGCTGAAGGAAATTCCTTGCAATGGGAGAGAAAAGGAGAACAAATCTTTGAATGCCATAAACTATTCTCAAAGAAAAGAAATCCCATCTTGCTGCTGTTGGAGATTCAAAGGCTATGGCCATGTTTTGGTGGGAACATTATTGCTGTTGAAAGAAGAAGGAAAGGATTACGACCCGTACCACCATGGGAGATCATGAAAGAGCTAATGCATCCAAAAATTATGTCCCCTACTCATTACTTAGGGATTTAAATTAGCTAGAATGGTGCAAGGAGGAAGGAGTGTTGAAGAATACTACAAGGAGATGGAGATTTGCATGGCTAGAGCCAAGATTGAGGAAGATGAGAAAATCACCATGTCACGTTTCCTTGGAGGTCTAAACAAAGACATTGCTGATGCTTTAGAGATGTATAGATATGATACCTTAGAGGATCTGATAGATATGGCCATGAAACTTGAAAGACAGAAAAAGGGAAGATCCAACACTAACAAGTATTCCAACAACACATGGGGATCTAATGGGGATCTAAATGGCCTAAAGAAGGTGAGAAGAAAGAATTTAGAGGCTCAAGTTCTCAAAGGACAGATTCAACTTCAAAGGGTAAAGAAACTGTCCGAACTCCATTTAAAAGCAACAAAGGTACTTCTAACTCTACAACCCCTTCTAGAGAAATTAAATGCTTTAAATGTTTGGGGAAAAGGCATTTTGCATCTCAATGTCCTAATAAAAGGGTTATGATTATTAAAGATGATGGGAATGTTAGTTCTGAATCTGAATGTACTGATTATGATGATATGCCTAAATTACTTGATGATAATGATGATGATGATTCAGAAAATTTGATACTTCCTGAACATGGAGAAGCTTTGGTTGCTAGACAGACGTGCTTTGAAACATGCATGTAACAAGAAAGAAAGCCTGAGCAACGTGAGATATATTTCACACTAAGATGTTTGATTAGTGGGAAAGTGTGTACTCTTATTGTTGATGGGGGTAGTTGCAAACTAATGTTGCTAGTGTAAAACAGGTAAACAAACTGAACTAACTTGTCTCAAGCAAATCCTAACTTGTCTCAAGCATCCTAAACCTTATAAATTGCAATGGTTGAATGATTGTGGAGAGGTGAAAGTGACTCGACAAGTGCTTGTGCCATTTTCTTTTGGAAGGTATGATTTTATGTGACATAGTACCTATGCAAGCTGGCTATCTATTGTTGGGGAGACCAAGGCAATATGATAGAAGAGCACTTCATGATGGATTCCATAATCGATACTCTTTGATTCATAAGGGAAAAAAGGTGGTTCTTGTGCCTTTATCACCTTATCACCTCAAGAGGTTTATGAAGATCAACGAAAGATGAGAGAGAGAGAGAGGTTTCGGCCTTGAGAAAACATGAGAATGAGAATTCGAAATTGAGAGAACAAAAGAGAGAAAAGAGTAAGGATGAGGGAAAAGAGGCCACAAAAATAACCAAACAAATTAATGGCCCAATTTTGAGTGAAAAACAAAGAGAGGAAAAAAAGAAACAAACTTTTTATGCAAGAGCTAGAGAGGTTAAGTGTGTTATTGCTTTGGAGAAGCCCGTGTTGCTTCTTAGATATAAGGAAGTTTTATTTGCTGAAACTAACACTAACCTTGACAATTTGCCTTCTATGTTTGTTTCTATGTTGCAGGAATTTGATGATGTCTTTCCTAGTTACCACCCTTAAGGGGAATAGAACATCAAATTGACTTCATTCCTGAATCCACCATTCCAAATAGGCCTGCCTATAGAAGCAATCCAATGAAGACAAAGGAGTTGCAAAGGCAAGTTGATGAACTTATGGAGAAAGGTTTGGTGAGAGAGAGCATGAGCCCGTGTGCCGTTCCCGTGCTTTATGAAGCCCATGTGCCGTTCCCGTGCTTCTAGTACTAAAAAGGATGGAACATGGCGGCAATGTGTGTTTGATCTGTAGAGCGGTCAACAAAATCACAGTAAAGTATAGACACCCTATCCTAAGACTTGATGATATGGTTTAAAGAGAATTGGCATGGGGGCACTTACTTTTACTAAATCGATTAATGAGTGGTTTACCATCAAATTAGAATGCAACCAGGTGAATGAATGGAAAAACTGCTTTTAAAAAGCTAAGTATGGTTTTGTATGCATGGTTAGTTATGCTTTTGGACCTATCTAATGCACCTAGTACTTTTATAGGCTTATGAACCATGTATTGCGTGCCTTCCTAGGAAAGTTGTGGTTGTATACTTTGATGATAATACTCATTCTATAGCAAGTCTCTTAATGATCATATTGAGCATGTTAGGATAGTGTTTACAAACTTTGAGGACAGAAAAGTTGTATGCTAAACTTTAACAAATGCACATTTTTGTATAGATAGACTTGTATTTCTTGGTTAGGAGGTCACAGGTATTGGTAAGTAGAATGAGAAGAAAGTAAAAGCTATCAAAGAATGGCCAACTCCCAAATCAGTTTCTTGAAGTTAGGCCCAAATCAGTTTCTGAAGTTAGGAGTTTTCATGGGTTGGCAAGCTTTTATAGGAGATTTGTTAAGGATTTCTCTTTAATTGCAGCACCACTAATAGAAATTATCAAAAAGGAAATTGGGTTCAAGTGGGGAGAAGAACAACAAAGGGCATTCGAAACACTAAAAGGGAAGTTAACTTCTGCACCTATACTTTCTTTGCCTAATTTTTAGAATACTTTTGAGATTGAGTGTGATGCTTCTGGAGTTGGAATTGGGGCTGTCCTAATGCAAGAAAAGAAGCCAATTGCCTACTTTAGTGAGAAGTTGAATGGAGCACAACTCAACTATTCAACCTATGACATATGACAAAGAGCTTTAATGCCTTGGTAAGAAACTTTACAGTTTGGCAACAACTTACTTATTACCCTAAAGAGTTTTTTGTTCATCCTACTGACGCATGAGGCCCCTAAAACACTTGAAGGGTCAAGGTAAGCTCAATAAAAGACATGGTAAGTGGGTTGAGTTTATTGAACAATTTCCTTATGTGATTAAATACAAGCATGGGAAAGATGACATGCCGATGCATTTGTCCCGGAGATATGTTCTATTTACTGCTCTTAGTTCTAAGCTGCTAGGATTTGAGTATGTTAAGGACTTGTATGTGTCTAATTCTAATTTTGGCAATGTATATTTGGCATGCAAACATGTGGCATGTGAGCATGGAGCATTTGATAAGTTCTATAGACATGATGGATATTTGATTAAGGGCAGTAAACTTTGTGTGCCTAAATGTTCTATCCGTGATTTGCTTGTACTTGAATCTCATTGTGGGGGATTGATGGGACACTTTGGGGTGCATAAGACTTATGATATGCTGAATGAACATTTTTATTGGCCTCATATGCATAGGGATGTAGAAAAAGTTTGTAATTCTTGTATTGCTTACAAATAGGCCAAATCTAAGTCTATGGCTCATGGATTATACATGCCTTTACTTGTTTCTAGTTCACCTTGGACTGATATATCCATGGACTTTGTACTTAGTTTACCTAGGACTAGGCGTGGTAAGGACAGTATATTTATTGTTGTTGATAGGTTTAGCAAGATGGCTGAGATGGCTCATTTTATTCCCCTGTCATAAAACTGATGAAACTGCCCAATAATGTTGCTGAATTAGATCTTTAAGAAGTGGGTAAGATTGCATGGGGTACCAAGGACTATTAGTTTCCTGATAAAGGGATGCAAAGTTCCTTTCAAACTTTTTGGAGTAGTTTTGTGGGGTAACTTGAACTAAAATTACTTTATTCCTACAACTTGTTCATCCACAACAGAATGGACAAACTGAAGTTGTGAATAGAA